ACAGACATACATATACACATACACATACATATGTACACATATGTATGTATACACACAGGGCCGACAAAAAACTCTTAAAGATACTATACCCATATATATATGTACTGATTGATTGTGTATGTGTGTGCGTGTGCACATACGCTTTCCGTGAGCAGGTTTTCTGTAGTTCGTGCGAAAGGGCGTTCTGTACACCGGCATGCAGCTCGGTCCATGGGCTTCATCATCGAGGCATTGCGCAATTGTCAAACGGTCAGGCTTACCGGTCTAGAGTCAGAGACCTAGGAGAAAGTTTTCCTTGAAATGCTTTTGACTAGGACGGCATGCAGAGGGGGGGATGGGGCGAAGGAATGTGAATTCGCCGCACGGCAGCACGTTGGCCTGCAATATTGATGACAAATATGATGTGGATGATGGCTTCTGTCTTGCATTGTTGTGCTGTCCATGTTTGTTGCCTCTTTTTGTGAGGGGCGATGATGTCATGAAGACATAATTAAAGCATTGAATTCCGTTGATACCAATAACAATTGCACAGGTGGTCCTAACATCACCAAGACAGAGGACATCCTGGCAATCCGGATGCCGCCGGCCAAGCTTGGCCAGAGTTTGTCTCCATCAATGTGCAGGGTGCAGGTGCAAGAGCTTGAGGTCCGGGAATGCGGGGTGTAAGCTCGTCTTATAAAGTTACAGTTGCCCGAACCTCTTGCACTGGATCGTCCATCCGCTTGAACCCGCCTGAACTTCAATATGCATGGAAGGCAGTTGGGTGTGAACTCGTTGAGGCAACGTGCTCCAGTCTCTGCAGCCCCGGCTGCGGGTGTTGAAAATCTCACAGCCAACAGAAGACCCAGACTAAACAGCGACAAACAACAACAGCATAACAATTCATAGGAATAGTTAGTTAGATCAGAGTTCTACCAGACTCTGCAAGTATGTATAATCTACTGAGCGACGTAGTATTTATCGAATGGACAATCAAATTTGACTGTAAGTGCTCTAAGGCCTGTAGTCCCCACGACCCTACCCGAAGCTGTGACATGCTCGTCCAGTTTCCACGGGTTTCGGGGGGTTGGAGATCCTGGTTAAAGGAGTGTGCAAGTCTGTGCTACGCTTCTGTTGTGTGTGTGTGTGTGCCTGTATGTGTGCAGGTAGATAGGTAGGTATGGTTTCAATTGAGAGATGTATGTGTGTATATATATATGGCTGTATGTACATGTGCATATGTATGTATGTATGTATGTATGTATGTATCTATGTATGTACGCACGTACGTATGCATGTACTTATGTTTGTCGTCGTCATGTATCCATGTAATGAAGTATGTACGTGAAGATTATCCGCTGTAGCTCTGTATATGGCCGTATGCATGCAACTCTGCACGTGTGCAGATATTGGACGATATAAAAAAATCATTCCTGATGCCAGAAGTGCAACACTTGGATAAGACTGCTGCGCACGAAGAAGGTAGGACAATGACAATTGAATAGTTTTGTTGTTGTTAAGTGTGGCAATCATCAGCGCAGACAGATTCTGGCAAGCAGCTGGTAAGGCCGGGGTCAAGTTTTAATTATGTGGGACATGAAGCCCAGAGAGATTGGAAGGCGCCCCTCGGAAGCCACCCATACCCAGGCCGTACCACTTTGATGATGCACCGGAAGCGCCCGAGTGGGCACAAAAGTGTGCACCGCGCTCGGTTCGGGTGATTGTAAACGCTGCGCGTCGTCCGTCTCTGTGGCAGATAGCAATAGCAGCAGCAATGCGGACCTTCTTTAACTTGCATGGTTCGCCAGACTTAGTCTGCAAAATACAAGACAAGAGCTTGTTTACCAACTGTGTTTGAGGGATCCTAAAATCTTAGTCGTAGTAATGGATGACGACAGACAGCGCCAAGGTGAAGACGCTGTCAAGCAGCAAATCAGACGTAGAGGCAGGCGCTTCATTAGATGTCCAGCTTCAAGGAGGTTGGGGTTTCAGGAGTGTTTTAAAGGAGCAAAAGGAGTGTTTTTAAAGGGGCTTGAGCCTGTCTGTGATCCCATGCGGGCACCTTGAGAATTACGGACTTGTTTCCTCCATGTCAATGCCAGGCCAGGAGAGCAGCCAGCGCTGAGCTGCAAGAGAAGCTTATGGAACCGCCAGCCCCTCAGGGAATGCTACGCAAAGAGAGCCCCTTCGGGCTTTCTGGCTTCTGCGGGCCTCGAGGGTTTTTTTACGCGCTTCTTCTATGTGGTGATAGCACATGTGCATGTGCAGGAATGGGGGGGAGTGACTCAGAAAGCAGATGCCCGATGCACTGACACGTGCAATTACCCCCGAAGGCATGAAAGAAGTTCTTCCTTGACCACGCTAGTCAGTGACAGTGCAAGAACCGACACGTGAAAACGCGCTGAATCTACCAATCTTGAAGCACTGGGATGCTTGAGCATGTTCGGTGTTTGCAAACTTTCAGCGTCATGCCCACCGGCTGGCCTCTGTCTGTGTCCGTGGTCGCATTGCGAGTGGCTTTTCGAAGCACCGACACCTGACAAGCACGGAATCGAGCTCCTATATTCTCGCTGAAGCAGCCTGGCATACAACTTTTGGGTTTTGTAGCATCGAAGGCCCCATCACCCCGCAGTCAGTCATATTGAGAACACATCCACACTACTCATACTGTTGCTACTGCTGCTACTATTACTGCTGTGAGAATGGTATTGTGCCAAATTGTATAGTAGAAAATCATAGTCATGATCGACATAATCCTAGTCCCTAAGACCCGAGGCTCCAGTCTCGACTGATGCTCTTGCTCGTAGACGCTCTTTACGACGAGGTTCGGCGCAGTTTGGGGCTGGGGTCAGTTCACAAGGTTTTGTAGGGTTTAGAGCTATCAGGCTCTCCGGTTGTCAGACGTCGGGCGTCTTGGGGTTTGAGATCAAGCGCGAAAACATGGATCGTCAGATAGAGATCAAGGGCTTCATATCTTCGCACCCCTGTTCCTGTGCACTTCCCTACATGTGTTTGTCATCATATATCCCGACATGACCCTTGTCCCAATGCGAATGATTTGGGCATCTCTATAGTCTTTTGGCCCCTCCCCGAGCAGCAGCCTTCCCGACTTGGATCTCCGAAGGGGGAGGGGAATCCCAAGACTTTAAGAAGCGGAGTGCAATCGAAATAATGATATGAAGAGGTCTCACTTAAAAATGCTACACCGAAAACCAAATGCAGCAATCGTAAGTGCAAGCCACCAAACTCCAAAGCGACAGAATTTCCGCACAAACACAAGACTTGCCAGGACCTCGAAGTCAGACTGACCATAGCGAAGCTGGACGTGGGAATGGATAGGGTCACTGCCAATCTATGACTGCAGCTGCTACGGCTACTGCTGCTACTACTATTACTACTACTGCCAATACTAGCACGACCACCACTGCTAATACTGCGGCTACTACTACTACTACTACTGCTGCTCATGCTCATGCTCATGCTCGTTCTGCTTCTGCTGCTGCTACTGCTACTGCTACTACTGTTCCTGTTGGTAATCCCCGTGCTATTTGTACTCCTGCTACTACTGCTCCGGCTACTCCGACTCCTGCTGGTATTGCTACTACTACTACTACTACTACTACTTCTTCTATTTCTACAACAACAACAACTTCAGCTTTTGCTCCTACGACTACCGCTACGACTATTTAGACGACGGCGGCGGCTACTGTTGCTACTGCTGCTACAACGACAACTACATCTGCAACTACTTCAGTGGCAACAGCACAATCAGCAACAACAACAACAACAACAACTAGAATTCAATCTGTTTCAGCGGTTTCCTTCTCGTTACGATGTGGGATTGACTTCTTAGTTTGCCTTTGGACTTCCTCTGCAAATGTGCATGCAGGGGTGTTCGTTTGCATAGACCTGCGACGGCATGTGCGTAGTGCTGCTTGGTTCTTTGTGTATGTGCAGCAGCGGCAGATGAACATACATGTGCTACTCAATTCTGACTTGAAGTGTGGTGCTGTTAGGACTTAAGAGGGGTGGTCGCACACGGTGGTACAGTAGAACACGTTGTTTTCGAGCTTTTCCGTGCTGTTTGTATACGAGTCAAGGAGCCAGTAGCTGCAAAGCCTGACCTGTTCATACTTGGTTATGGCAGTCCTTTAGCAGCTGCTTGGGTGGCTGAAGGCAGAAGGACGCAACAGGAACGTGCCAGTCATCTAGTGCCCTGGAGCTTAAATTCCTGTACATGCTGCTGCGGGTTGCACTTTTCAGAGAAACTCTCGTACAACGGCATGTCCTACACTGAACGAACCCTGCAGCTCAGGAGAACCTTTCAAAACCTTTGTTCCTTGGACCGGTGGCCAATGGACGAATGGATTGCTGGGTCCTTACTTCGCGGCTTTTCACAAGCAAAAAAAAGCTATCTTTGTTTCTACTTCTTGGTCAAATCCGTGGTCTCCTGTCCGCAGGGTAACGGTGAGGCTGCATGTCCCACGCAAGCTGATTGACCCCTTCACAGTTCTGCACGCCCTAGAAGTCCTTGAGTGTGAGCGTGGACCCTGAGCACGACTTCGCAAGTTAACGAGGGGGTCAGAAGGCGGGAGCATGACTCAATCGCGGTCTTGCCCCGTGATTCTGGCACATGCATCAGCAGCCGCAGCATTTCGGTGCCATTTGTAGCTGAGGGTCTCTGGGGCACTCTTGCTTAACTCACGAGCTCTCGTAGAGCAGGAGCTTGCGGCTTGCGGGTGAAGTGTTATAGACACCCCTCTACAAGCCATACGACAGCTCTGCCAAAGGCCCGCGTCGCACGGAAGCTGGAGCCAGATTCCGTGCGCGACTTAATGTCTCAACCTCATGCCTCAGGCACTGCGAGCTTCTTGATATGCACCAATCTTTAGCATAGTTTCTACTTCAGCCGTGTGCAGCCAGCCCCTGAGCCTCGCGAGGAAGTCGATCTCATGACACGAATCTTGTCTATGCGAGCTTTGGTCCTAGCCCAAGAGTGCTTCCGATCATAGAACGGGATGTCGTCCCTCCAGTTGTTGCTGTTCGAGTGAGTCAGCGAGGGCTTTGGATATGAAAGGTCAAGCCTTCACAGAAGCAGGTTTCAAGGATTCTTTTCGCGTTGCGGAATCGGCATACGGTCTTAGGGTTTTTTGCGCTGGCGTCTTGAGCTTGGCTGAAGGGATCCAGGGCTTATAGTGCAATGCGAGGCCGTGCTCAGATAAGGGTTTTAGGCTTCAGGGACTTCCGGCTAGATTCCGACCCTTCCCGCCCGTAGCGACAGGGCTGGATCGGACCCTGGGCAGCGCATTACTCCGGAGCTTTGCGCCCGTACTTTGACCACGAGGATGCGCAGCCGATGTGTACTTAAGCAAATTCAACATAACATGGACATATATGTCACAAGTATGACACTACTTTACGTTGCGCTACCCTACACTACCTTGCTCTATATGTAATGCTGCGTTATGTGAGAAGACATTGCCACAAACATGAGGTGCCTGCGGTCTGCTACATCGCTTTACGCGGATTTCGTTGCATGCCCGTTCCGTCAAGATTTGTGAGGTGTTGTAGCAATGCAGATGTGAATGTTAACGCCATCGCGCCCGTTTCCGGTCATGTATGTACACTACATGCAGTTTCGTGCATCTGCGCATTGATACATCTTCGCACATGGAATTAGACGACGTAGGTAGAGCTAGCGGCGGAGATCGGATTGAAGTTTTGCCGTCTGTCAGAGTTAGAGCGTAGCATCAGATAAAGGTATGAACACATGCTCATCATTGCAGGAGAGCTTCAATAGTATGGAAGAAGTGGCGCGGTTAGCTGCTGCGCTCGTAGCTGTGGTGACGAGTGTGGACATAATGCGCAATCCTTTGCAAGATCTTGTTGTGGTTACCCACATGTACCAGCATGCCGCTCGTCAAGCGTCTTCATCACCACATTTCTTGTCGCAGTTGCATTCCGCTCATGCTGGTTATCGTTACTTCCTGCCGCTATGTGACGATTTCCTTTGAATTCCATTCCGTTTTGCTGGCATAACTTAATGTTTTCTATTGCCGCAATACTGTTGCCAACCCCATGCTGGACGCTGAAAAGATTGTGATTGCGGCCGGCCAGTCAATATCAGCATCATTCCTGGCCATCGTAGTGGTGATGCTTTCAGTTGCTCGTTGTTGGTGTCGTAGCCGTGCAATTTTTGTAAACTGTCAGTACTAGTAGTAGTATTTGGGGTACTAGTGCAGTGGTGGTGGTGGTAGTGGCAGAGGTGGTGGTTATGGTTGGGTAGTGGCAGTGGCAGTAGCAGCAATAGTAGAAGCAGCAGCAGCAGTCTGGTGGTGGTGGTGGTGGTGGTGGTGGTGATGGTGGTGGTGGTTCCAGTTGTGGTAACAGTAGTCGTCGTCGTGCTTGTATGGTGGTGGTGGTGGTGGTGGTGGTGGTGGTAGTAGTAGTAGTAGTAGCAATAGTAGTCGTCGTGGTGGTGGTGGTGGTAGTGGTGGTGGTAGTAGTAGTGGTCGGAGTAGGCGTAGGAGGAGTGGTGGTAGTCGTCGTCGTGGCAGTATTTTTTTTATATTATTATTGGTAGTAGTAGTCGTCGTCGTCGTGGTGTTGGTGGTGGCGGTGGTGGTGTTGGTGCTCTCTCTTGTGCTAGAGCTGCTGCTGCACTGTTGCTAATGCCAGCCCTGTTGCTAGTGCTCTGGTGTTTTATCAATTTTATCAGTTGCTGTTGTTGTCGTGATTGCGTTGGCGATCGCCATCGCCATTGCGATGGTTTGCTCCGTTGCCGTCGACGTGGTTGCTGCTGCTGCTGCTGCTGCAGTAGTAGTAGTCGTAGTAGTAGTAGTAGTAGTTGTTGTTGTCGTTGTTGCTGTTGTCGCTGTTGCTTTTGTTGCCGTTGTTGCTGTTGCTGTTGTTGTTGTTGTTGTTGCTGCTGTTGTTGTCGCTGCTGGTGCTGCTGGTGCTGTGTGATGTGTGCTGCTGTTGCTGTTGCTGTCAGTGTGTGTTGCTATTGTTGGTGTTGTGGCGCTCGTTGTTGCTGCTGTTGCTGTTGCTGTTGCCGTTGCTGTTGCTGTTGCTGCTGCTGCTGCTGCGGCTGCTGCTGCTGCTGCTGCTGCCGTTGCTGTTGCTGTTGCTGCT